TTTTTTTTTTTTTTTTTTTTTTTTTTTTTTTTTTTTTTTTTTTTGTAGCAAGGTGAAACTACAAAGCTCATCATATTAGGTTATGATGTGATTTGACCCAGTGGAACTTAGAACCCAATGAGTAATGATTTGGTTGTGTGAGGTGCTTCCGATTCACTCTGTTGAGACCTTTTCAGATATCAGTCTGTGTTCTTACTTATGTAAATTGCTGTTTGATCACTTAAAATTTAGCATAAACTCAACTTTATTTAATGTGAAACCTGAATTTATTTTATAAATATAAAAGGAGTGTCCATAGTAAGTCTTGTTATGATGCCATGTGTAACTAGAGGAACAGGAATTGTGGTTAAATGAGAGCTCCTAGGGTGGTCCTTTATGTAAAGGACCTTTATGTAAAGCCTGCTTTGTGGCAGCACAAGGGTCCTAGAAGCAGTTCCTCTGCTGTTTGTGGAGCGGAGCCTGCATGATGAAGATACTTTAGTAGTAAAGGTAGAGTAGAAGCAAGTACACAAGTGGACTCAGGGAAACCATGGAAAGCTGTAGTTTGATAGACGAGAGACGAGAGAATGCTGTTGTAAAGCCATTGGTTTGCTGAGAAGTATCCGGTCAGCATTTCTCAGATTGTTAGAATCTCATACACTTGTCTTAAAATCTATAAGATGTAAGGCTTTTGATTCTCTGTGTATTAGTTTGTATATTTAATTGTAAATGTGTGATTTATTCTCTGGGATGTGTTTAGACTATTTAGATATAATTGGAATAATTAACCTTACTCTCTGAACACCCATTATTCAGGCCTACAAAATAATTTTTCTTATCCTTTGAATATTGGTTAATGATCTTCTTGGCTTTAGGTTTATGTTTTTATTTATATTTAAAATAAAATAAATTCTTAGATTTTATACTTTGCATTTATCTGACTTTTTAACATCAAAGGAGCCATTAAGTAAAACTTTCTTTTCTTTTTCAAACTTGTTTGGGCATTGCATTGCTGAGTGACATCTTTGCTTACTGTGAACTATGATGTTTTGTTACATAGTGGTGCTGGGGTTTTGAATTCCTATTTTCATTAGTATTTACCATGTATCTGGTTTCTAAACTCGGATTACTGTTGTCTTTTAAGTTAAAAAAAAATACTTCAGGTGGCATTTGGCTAGGAATCTAAAATCAAGAATTGATAAATTATACATGTTTTGGAGAAACATACTAATCTAATGTGATTATTGTGTACCATACTATCCGGCATTGAAAGAGTTAACTACTTCTGTCTGACTTCACCTATGTGTTCAAGTAGACATTAGCTGAAAAGAAAGTGTTTTATTCTTTCAACCTTACTAAGCACCAACTACTGTGTTAGTTGCTGATCTTTAGTTCATACTGCAAAGCATTGATTGTGGTTGTTTTGGCCACTCTGACTCTTCCTGATCTTATGGGGCTACTATAACATTACTGGACATGCATTCCCGTTGTCCGTCTACATTGGTGGAGTAAAGAACTGAACAGGATTACTTCATACTCTTTGATCTTGGTTTTGCTGTGAAGACAGACTATAGGGATCATCAATACAATGTAAAAGGGTGGGAGGGAAGGGAATGAAGCTTCATGAATTACTCTTTGTCCTCCCAGATCTAATGGTGATCCCCTTTGTAACTTGAACCATTTCCATCTAGCTTCTCAGGGCAGCAAGGAGCTTGTTAACATCACCAGCTGACCATGTGTCTCCTTTTCTCAACTCCATTTCCAACTTCGTGCTGAAGAAAAACGAGAGCCTAGCGTGCGTTCTGTGAAGAAGCAGGAAGATGGTTGGGAAGTTGGATGGTGCATGGCAGATATAATAGGTGAAAAGAGGACAGAGGTGGTTAACTCACTGGCGCCGGCATTGATTTGGTGCGTTCATTGCCAACCATTGTTGTCGTTCGGGAAAATCCCTGCTTCTGGCGAGAAAGGATTAAGTGAGCTGCTTTTTCTATACCTTATATACACAGGATCACTGACGAGGCTTGCAAGGCATTTATTATCACATTTCTCCTGAAGTAGCCCTCACATCACCTAGCACACTGTACTCACAAACATGTTCATCTTCACATGCAGATTTCCTGGGCTACATTTTTAACAGGGAAATGTGCATCTATTTTTGTGTGGAAGAAGAACTATGCATCATCTGTCCTCCTGAAAATGTAGCCTTGATTTCACAAGGCAAACAGCAGTTACAATTGATTATTAATTATAACTTGACTGGGAAAATCCTCATTCACTTGGATCATTATGAAAAAGAGGTAATGTTCTCAGGAATTTGGCAGTTTCAATTACTGTTAACATCAAGAGATTATAATAATTAGTAAGTTAAGGCCTTCTTTACAAACACTTAGATATAGGATGTGCATCTTGCCTTCTGGCCACCTTGGGTAGTTCTGTTTCTACCGGAATTAGATGATTTAGGGACAGAAGCTTCCTGTAAGTAATAAGTTAGTACTTCTTAATGACTACTCTTACTCTCTTACTTCATCTTTTTGTAGACACTACCTTTAGCTTAGAAATACATTATTTTAGTCTAGGGTGATGATGCATACCTTTAGTCCCAGTACTTGGAAGGCACAGGCAGGTGAGTCTGTGAGTTTGAGGCCAGCCTAGTCTACATAGTCAGCTCTAAGATAGCCAGAGCTACACAGAGAAACCCTGTCTCAAAAAACCAAAAAAGAAAAAAAAAAAAAGAAACAACATTCTTTGGTCAGAAAACTTAACATTAAACTTTTTATAGAAAGTTGAACTATATACCTAACCTGAATGGTTTTGAGTCAGTGAAATTGCACTCCACCATTGGTATGGTCTATAAAAAAGATTTGTACATGTGGAAATGAAGTTGTGTGTCCTGAGCTTCTGTGATAAATGTGATAGGTCTATAGGGTAGAAGGATAAAGAGGACATGAGCCTGTATAGAGTCACCTCCAGGAAATACTGCTTTTGAGAGATAGATAGTGCTGCATTGAGAATCTTTTTTTAAGTTTGCTTTTTAAAAGGCAAAAATGGTTTAAAAATGGCTAGTTCATCCATTCCCTTTTATTTATTTATTTATTTATTTATTTATTTATTTATTTATTTGGTGAGAGACAGGGTCTAGCTATAATAATGCAGATGCTAGAATTAAAGGTGTGTATAATAGGTATCTGCCACCACTCTCAGCAATGAGCTCACACACACAATTTTTATTTTATTTAAGGTAGGGTCTCACTATGTAGTTCTTGCTGGCCTGGAACTCACTATTGCAGCTGCTTCACCACACCATCCCTTGCTGAGGTCACTTTTTATTTTGTGGTCCATTTTGTTACCTAAACTACTTTTATCTGAATAGTAATGCAGCTCGTTCGGTGATTAGCCTGTAATCCCCCAGAGGCTAAGGGAAAAGGATCATGAGTTGGAAGCCAGCCTGGCTACATAGTAAGACATTGTCTCAAAAGACAAAAATATCAATTAGAGATTTGGGGCACTACCTGTTTTGTTTTTAAATGTGGCTGTGCACCATGCTTGCTTGTTTATATATTGGCTGTGACTGCTATAGTGGTAGACTTTGGTAATTGCCACAGAGATGGGATAGATTGTAAAAATTGTAATATTTGTCCTGTCCTTTACAGAAAAAATTTACCAATACCTATTTCAATGATAAAACACAGGATTTGGCTGCTTTAAACATCTTGCTAAACAAAGTCACTTTGACTTTACATGTTTTGGTGAGCTATTAAATCTGTTTTCCCAAAGACAGTTGTCATGTTTCTATTGCCTGTGAAGTTAGTTTTTGTTGTTATATCTTGACTTTATTTAGGAAAAGATAGTTCAAGTGTAGGACTATATGAGAGGCAGAAGAATAATAGACATTATAGAAAGAACTTCCTAGTGAGAAAAGACCTCTAAGGAATGTTGTTCTCAGGACCATGATCAAACCAGTCAGTAACTTGAGACTTTTCTAGTGTAGATT